AAACTCAATGACTGGAACTGGGTGCCTGGTCTTAATAGAGGCAAACCTGAACTTAGGGTGCAAATTGATGGGGACTTGTTTTGGGTGAAGGACCTGTTAACTGCAGGTGGTTGTGCATGGGATACAAATTTAGTCAATGCTCTATTTAATGAGGAGGATGCTCACAAGATTCTACAGATCCACTCCATAAATCCCAGAGCTGCTGACATGTGGATGTGGCCTTTTGTGGACAAAGGTAAGTTCTCTGTCAAAAAAGCATACAACTTGATGATGGCTGAGAAGTTAAATAGCATTGAGGTAGTTGAAAGCAGTTGGGTGGCAGGTGGAAGTAAAAAAGCTAGAACCAGATGTTGGCAGCTTAATATGATGGGCAAAGTAAAACACTTTATATGGAAGTGTTATTCTAATATCCTGCCTGTTACTTGCAATCTAAATGCCAGGGGTATTGATGTTGACCCAATCTGTAAAGTGTGTGGGGAGGCTGAAGAAACCCAAGACCATGTCTTGTTCCAATGTACCAGTGCAATGCAGGTTTGGCAGATAGCCCCTTTACAATGGAATAGAGTTCACTAGGAGCAAATCAGTTTCAAGGAGTGGTGGTGGTGGAATAGTACCATGGACACAAAGGACACTTCTGAAGAGAGGATCCAGCTATCACATACATTCTGTGGTGGCTCTGGGAAGCTCGAAACATTTGGATCTTCGAAGGACAAAGGCAGCCGGCAGTGAGCATTTTGAAGGCTGCAAGGAAGGATTGGCTCAACTTCACAGTATTCAAGTCTAAAGTCTAAGTGAGAGCTGAGGGGGTTAAGCTAGGTCAAGTGTCAGTGGCTTCACCTGTCTTTTTTCTTGCTTATTTTGTGTTTTAGCAGTGAGGTTTCTGTATTAGTCTTCATGTGTTACTTTGTCCCTTGCGAGTCTGTATTTGATGATTAGCTTTGTTTTTGGCTTAGTTAACTTCTATGTTTGGTCGGTCTTGTTTAGGGTGATTGGTTAGCATTCCTCTCAGTTACCCAGGAAGGGGTTTCCCTATGTACATTACCATATTAAGTTGTTTTTATTTATGGAGATCTTATGCCGTTGGGAAAAAAAAAAAATCGGTAGTAAAAATATAATATTGTATGTTATTACAAATTGTGGAAAATTTCTCTATAGAAAACATTTTTAGTAGTTTTTTTCTCTATTATCGTCATCACATATTAATATTTTCAATCCTTTTAGATTAGTGACTCAAGAAACAACAACATATAACTGACCATGACTAAACGCGGGTCTTTGCAAGTAAAGTCCGACATGGGATAACGACTGCCCTTGACTCTTATTCATTGCCAATGCGTAAGAAACCATAAGAGGATATTGTCTACACTGGAACTTGAAGGGTATCCTGAGATTAGATGGAGTTAGAGAAAGTCTTGGTACCAATACCTTATTTCCAGCATTTGATCTGGTTAGAATCTTGCATTCAAGCCCGTGAGTGGCAAGCTTCGTTATCACCAAGCGTGTTCCATTACACAGTCCGATCGAATGGTCAATGTTTCTCAACAACATGACAGGAGACCCAGCCTTTAAGTGCAATTCATGATTTGGAACACCAGAATATTTTATACTATTTAAGAACTCCGGCATGTGCAGGTCATGCAAGAAATCAACACCATCATCGGATTTGCATGTCTTGTCAGAACATAAGTAAGTATGACCCTCCAATTGATTCAAAGATGATATATATTCATTGATGGAGTCAACAACATATAATGTTGGAGCTAATATAGCTCTGTCTTTCAAATAGCTGGGATCATCAATGCAATCTTTAACCATTAGATAAGTGTTTTCCACAATGGTTGCGATGAAGTCATCAAAATTCTGTAGCAAAAGTTCACCAGATATGTCAATATCCGCACAACCATCTTCGATTCCTCCAATTGTTCCATCTCCAATTCTTGCAATCCACTCAGCAAACTCAACCAATTTATGGCACTCTTCATTCTCACCATGGCTCTGAAGTCTCATGTTTCTAGTCAATCTCACACTCGACAATCTTTCCAAATTTAAGATGCATTAATCGTTGCATTAACGATGTCTTGTCGACTTCCTTTGGGCACAACAGGTAATATTTGCCGAAAATTTCCACAAAAAATAATTGTTTTTCCTCCAAACACTTTATGCTTATTTGATGGATCGATAATAGACATTGTTGACTTAAACGTGTTATCAAGAGCTTCAAAACAACACTTATTCATCATAGGAGCTTCATCCCAAGTTATAAGGGAAGCACAAATAATTAGTTCAGCAAGTGGACTCAACTGATTTATATTACAACTAGAATCCTCACTTGGCTGAAATGGAATGCAAATCTAGAATGTGCACATCCTCCCCCAGGTAAAAAAAGAGATGTTATTCCACTTGATGCCACATTAAGAACAATTTTTTCTCTGGATCGAAGCCATGATGATAAAGCTCTCCACAAGAATGTCTTTCCAGTGAGAAATGTTATAGGTATAATATTGTACATAAGGGTGTACATAACACTCACATTGAGTGGGACCTACCAAAAATAAAAAACCAAGTGGACCCTACTCCATGTAAGTGTTATGTACACCTCTATGTACATTTATTATGTACTTATAGCATTTTCTCTTTCCAATACCACCGTAACCATAAACAAAAATAGGCCACCATTGTTACAATTAACATATTTCATTATGGTTTCATATACATAATGTTGTTAAACAATCATTGTGGACAGTAGCTATTCATGTTCATTGCCATAGCTTTTCGATCATAGTTGAGTTCATCAAGCAGCATCCTATTACGACTATTCTCGTGATCATTAATAGTCGAGTAAGGCATAGAATCAAAATCGTGTAGACTCCTCCCACGTCTTTGCAATGACTTCTCTACTTCGTATAGAGCCAAATTTTTTATCTCGTACTTGCCAATATTCAATTGTGCAATGTAATTATTTTAATAAGTCAATGCAGTCATATCAAAGATATTATGTAACGACATTATTCAAAACATATTTTTTTTTTATTCTTCATAAATGAATTGATAACTTTATACCTGGAGAATTCAATAATTTTCATTGATTATATAAAATATCATCAGATAGTAGCTAGTATCAATTCAAATCATATAATATGCTTTAAAATTTACCCTAATATTTGTAACCCCTCGGAAATCAATTCAAATCATATAATTTAGAATCGTATATTATATGAAGGTGTTGTAGATTGGGGATGACAAAAGTGCATTATATATGCCACTATTATATTCTATGGAATAATTTAGAATCTTATATTCTATGGAGGTGTTACAGATTGGCGGATGACAAAAGTGCATTATATCCACTTATTACATTGAATATGCATTATATTTTATATAATCACTAAATATGCATAATATTTAATATAAACACGAAATATGCCACTAATTAATTAATATCGTCTTGCATGTCATAGAAAATCTACACTAATATTTGTAAAAAATCAATTCAAATCATATATTCTATTGAATAATTTAGTACATATAATGGTTAATTGATGATAATATATTTAATTGATAATTAATTATCAAATGATTGGGTGTCTTTATCGTATTTGATGGTATGTATATTTGTATATATTATTAAATATATGGTCAAAATCGTTTTAAATATTACATTTTTACATTTTCAAAACACAATGATTCATATACTTACAATTGAAATTTTATTTTTAGAAAAACTGAAATTGTCCTCAAATAATTGATGATATATATTTAACTTGCCATATGATTCATTTTGGGATTTTTTTTTAATTNAGATTTATGAGTTTATATAATCACATTGAGAAATATATAGATTGAAGTCATATATTCTATGAAATTAATACTCCATATATTGATAATTAATCATATATTCGGAATCAATACTACATATATCCTTGGTTAATTGATAACTTAGGAATTTTTTTCCCATTGTAAAAAGTATACCATGTAGTTCGTATTGTCATCAATATAGAAACTTCGAAGTATTCAATATGATTAATTGATATTATCGAATATAATAAAATGTAGAAAATAATTATATGTAACAAATATAAATAATTATCAAAAGCATATGGTCAAGAGTCAAATATACAACCTGCTATAATTTCACATGCCACTAATGAAATTTGAATCAGGCTATGGTGGTGTTACAGATTGGGAGATGACAAATTTGCATTATATATGCCACTAAATGTACTTAATCTGCATTATATTTAATATAATCACTAAATATGTCACTAATTAATTAATATCGTCTTTTAGGTCATACAAAATACTAATTATACATTAAATTGATAACTAATTACCATGAATGATTTAGTAAATTAAAAAGGCAAAAATACTAATTATATATATAATTCCAAATATATCGTTGATATCATTTCCAAAAGAAGCATTTACTATTATTAGTAACTACAATTCTATCAACTCCCTCTTTATATATATAGAATATAGATATAGATAGATATAGATAACAATTCTATGACCCACAAAGAGAACAAACGGGCATTCACGTTGTCACCAACTGGGGCCCACATACAAGCCCTCATCATGGAAATAGTTGTCACGTTTTCCATGATGTTCATTACCTCGGCAATAGCCACCAATACAAAAGCTGTAAGAAAAGCCCGACTAGCCCCCACATCACCACCCAAAAAAACTAATAAAAATTCTAATTGAAAAAACACCGTTGCGCCTCTACGTAAAATTCGTAAACATAGGTTGAGTCGACTTGAGAAAAACTAAATAAATTTAACTTTTTAACAGATGCGATTTTTTTAAAATTTTTATTTTTTTTCGGTTGCTTGATGTGTTATGTAATTGTTACTCCAACTTGGTCGACTTTGGATTTATTAGATAGGGGAGCTGGCGGGAATGGCAGTTGGGTCTGCAGTTTGCATCACTTCAATCTTGGCCGGGTGAGTAAAAAGAGCTTAATTATCAGACCAAGGCTTGGCCCATTTATGACTCTACAACTATATGTGCAGGCCCATATCAGGTGGATCAATGAACCCTGCAAGAACCATAGGCCCAGCATTGGCCAGCAGCTTTATGACGGCATTTGGGTCTACATGATCTACGGTTTAGATTGAAGCTAGTGATATATAATCTTGACCGTCTATAAGATCTATGGTCGAAATTGAAGCAAGTGATCTATGTATGTAAACTGTAGTGTGTTGCAAGAGTGTCTATATGGGATGCTCNTAAAAATAGCTATATGCATGGGAGTGTGTTTGCAAGCTTTATGGAAAATAATTTAACAACTTTTTTTTCTATTAAATAAATATAAATAGAAAAGAAAAGTGCATTATACTGTAGAGTTTAGACAATGATGGTTGGTCAACTTACAAACCCATTGTACCAATTCAAGATAATAATTACTTAATTAGAGCCAAGATGTCATGGCCAAAGGATCTACACAAATGTGACATGAGTACACTACAAGTTGATGAAATAAAAGATAAAAGAGTTAGTTGCAGACTTGCAGGGTGATTTGTTAGAGAGGTTAAGAGACCTGCTCACAGACTACAAAGCTTCCAGGATTGATGGTGATACTCTTGGTGCAGTTATCCGTTTTGTAGATTCCAACGAGCCGGTCCGCCAGCTCAAACATGTTATTTCGGAGGCTGCAAATCAAGATTATTTTTTGAGAAAAATCATCTCGAATAATACGTTAAACAAGGACAAATCTAGAGAGAAAAAATGATAACTGAAAATCCACCTTATGATGATGAACTGTGCATCCTTGGTACGGTCCTTCACATAGTGCCCCACAATAGAGACATTCTTGAAATCTGCTAAGAATTATCACAATTTCCACCACACAGAAAAACAAATGATCAAANTAAAAAAAGAGAGAGAGAGAGAAAGAAAGAAAAAGGCATATACCTAAAGCAGCATCGATCTCATCCATCACATAGAGTGGAGTTGGTTTATAGTGGTGTAAGGCAAAAACGAGGGCCAGTGAGCTGAGTGTCTGATACAGAGTGCTTTTCGGGGTTAATTATGAAATTTGCCTGTCAGATTAAAGATAAAGTCTGGTATAGAAATACAATTACCTTTTCACCGCCTGACAAGTTAGCAATATTTTTCCAGCTCTTTTTGGGCGGCCGAACGCTGAAAACGACTCCCTCAGAAAAAGGATCCAACGAGTCCACTAGCTCAAGCTCTGCATCACCTCCCAGTGTAATCATCTGCGAACAAGATCATGAAAGAAGAATATGACAAAAGGAATATTTCACACAAAAAAAAAATAATAATAAGAATCTACACATTTTGACGTGCATGTAGATTGTTAGAAACCAAATTGGTGTCTTGCCTGGTACATTTCTTTCAGTTTCAACGAGATTGTGTTGAAACCTGCCATGAATTCATCTAACCTGAAAATATTGGCAGGAAGAGAAAATATAATGTTAGCAGATTTGAGGAGAGAGGAAAAAATTTTCAAGATAGATAAATTAGCCCCAAAGATTCACCTCTTCTTTCTCCAGTCATCATATTGCTTTTTGATGTCATCGCGCTCATTAGTTACAGAATTAAGATCTCCAACTCGCTCGTTGTACAAACTCACTTTTTTCCGATACCTGAAGGGATTCTCATAGAGTTATCTGAAAGTAAAATTATATATTACCATTAAAACAGAATAAACGGACAGAAGACATCATACTCTGCAATTGAGTCAAGGTTCGGGTTCATTTCTTTCAGTTGGGCCTCAAGAAGTGCCACCTTCTCAAGAGACCTCTTAAGGTCACTGATTTCATCACGAGTTACATCTGTCAACACTGTTTGAAGCTTCTCAGGATCCACCATATCCTTCTGAATTCTGTTATAAAAAAGGTCATGTTGCATGTCACCTTCGATATTATGGGAATAAATCAGAGGAAACGTATTAAGTTTAACCACGAGAAATGAGCTGGGAAGTAATGATTGATGAAAGTCATGTCTTTTCAACTTTTTGTCTGGGAAGTAATGATTGATGAAAGTCATGTCTTTTCAACTTTTTGTCATAGTTTCAAAGAAAGAAATTTCTTCAATTGTGCAACAGTGTAGCCAAAAAGGGAACTATAGTGCATAGAATAATATGGTTGATGATGCTAATAAAAATAAACTGCTGTTGGGTAAAGAATACATCAAGTCATGATGCAAGACAAAATGCTTACTGCTCCATGTGCTTTAAAATTGCAACTTCAAGTTCTCCAAGCTTCTTTGTGTAACCTTTCCCCTTCATTTCCAGCTCTTTACATGCTTTCTTCTTATCTTGTAACTTGTACTCAGCATCCACCTACAGAATTTGTTAAGTTGACTCAAGATAGAAAAACTACCGTGTGAAGAAAGACGAGACCTAATTTAGTGAACCATACCTCAGATGTTCGCAGCTCATCCACAATTTTCTTCAGTTTTTCATAGTCAGATTTTGCTTGGTGCAGGACATCTTTGTGTTGATCTATCAGCTACAAATAGAAATATATTACTTGCACATTTGCATCATTAGCATCAATCACATTATAAGTACCTCTGAACATGCAAATATAAAAAATGTGTACTAACTACTAACCTCCTGTGTTTTTTTATAATTCTCCTGAACAGTAAAAGCTTTTAGTTCAATTTCTTTAAAGGTGGACTGTAATTTTTCCCTTTCCAGTGTAAGCCGGTCTTTCTCATTTCTGGACTCTTCAATCGCTTTTGTCAGCTTCTTTATCATTTTCTGACCTGTTTCTATTTGAACTTTCCGGCGGTTAATCTCAGTACTATTTTTGTCAATGTCCTGGCAAATGAATTAATAGGAAAGTACTAGTCATTCACAAATGTTCAAGGCCTATCAATTTCTCTCACATAATACATTGGTAGTACTTACCGACTGAATTTTGCTAACTTTAGCCTTCTGGTTTTTCAGTTTTTCTCCACCAGCATTTTCTATTTTGTTCTGTAGCTCCAAAGCCTATACAGCATAACATCAATATTAATGATACTTTCTCCATATGAGATTGTGCCACATACTGTTAACAACTCGTTTGAATAAAATAAGAAAGAACGGATATATGTTTCCAAAAATCATTCAAGATTTGTTTCCTATTGAAGACAAAGTAGTAACAATAATGAGAACATAAAGAATGTAGCAACCTTCTCTTTGAGTTGTTTCGAGCCTTGTGTAAGCCTGTCAATCTCTTTCTCTTCAGCAGAAATGATGTTTGCAAGCTTCTTCAGTTGATCCAATTCTGCCTTTGGAGGCTGTGATGCAGCCTTGAGGGAATCTAGCTGCTTCTCTATATCACCTAATAACAACTTCAGACTGTCTATCTGCCAAGGTTTAATAGTGTCGGATAACAGAGACAAGAACATTATATATGACCGAACACACGCAATCTTAAATGGCGGGATAACCTACCTCCTTTCGGCTTTTGGCTAACTCCATCTCCAGAGGTGCAATGGCTTTTTCTGAATCCTTGTAATGCTTAACCGCATTAGCTAACTTACTACGTACAGTGTTTAGGCTCTCAACCAAATCGGACAACTCTTTTTCAGCATTTGCAACAGCTTCACCAGAGACACTGGCACGAATGGACGTTCCTATTTTGCCCCCGCGTGGCCGATTTCCACCGCCAGATATGGTGCCAGATTTTTCATACAGAGCACCATTAAGTGTCACAACACGCCAAAATTCCTTCTTTCCCCCATAAGCAACCCGAGATGCCTAAAGCAAAGAGATCATCATAGAACATAAATAATGTTACTAAATAAAAAGTTCTGCTGCATTTTGAAAACAAACTGGGTGAAGTAAACTTGCAAAGATATTCTCTGGGGGTTAAGAGCACTTTAGTTTTCCTGTAGTTTTGTAACACTTATTTCCAATGAATAGAGAGATAATACTACGTTCAATTGCAATTTACATGGTGAAAACCTTAAGACGGAAGAATTGTACTCCCCTAGTTTTCAAGTAGTAATAAGGTAAGTCAAGAGAGGCAATAAGCCAATAACGAAACTACCTGATCAAGATCTTTAGCTACAACTGTGTTCCCTAAGGCCGCAAAGAAAGCTAGTTTCATCCGCTCATCCTGCACCTTGATCAAATCAAATAGGCGCGGGACATTTTCTGGAGTCACAACTTTTTCCTTAAGTCGAGGCAGATGACTGGATTGTTTCTCCTGATAAAATTGAGACCACCTAGTAAAACAATTGCTCTTCTATCTACAAAAACCCAATCTACCCAATCAAATGTACACCAAGAAACAATTCAACAATAAAATCTATATCTATATATATATAATTGCTAGCAAAGCAATTAATAACACCTCATTTATTTTCCCTCCAAAAACAGTTACAAAAACATGTTTATTTTATTATCTTTTTTTTTTTAATAATTAAAACCTTAAACAACTACTAATCAATGAATATTTGATCAATATATATATATATATAGGGGGCGGATCAAATGGGACCAGCTCTTAAAATGCGCCCAGCTCTTAAAATGGGACCAGCTCTTAGCAACTACAGAGAACTAACCTAGCAACTACAGAGAACTAACCTAGCAGCTACTAACTTAGCAACTACAGAGAACTAATAGCAACAACAGAAAACTAACCTAGCAACAACAGACAACTAACCTAGCAACTACTTAGAACTAACTTAGCAACAAGATAGAACTAACCTAACAACTACAGAGAACTAACTTAGCAACAAGATAGAACTAACATAGCAACAACAGACAACTAACCTAGCAACTACAGAGAACTAACCTACCTAGCAATAACAGACAACTAACCTAGCAACTAGACATAACTAACCTAGCAACATCAGACAACTAACCTAGCAACTAGACACAATTAACCTATCAACATCAGACAACTAACCTAGCAACTACAGAGAACTAACCTAGCAACAAGAAACAACTAACCTAGCAACTACTAAGAACTAACTTAGCAACAAGATAGAATTAACTTAGCAACAAGATAAAACTAACCTAGCAACTACAGAGAACTAACCTAGCAACTACAGAGACTAACCTAGCTAATTGGAAAGTTAGTTGTCAACGGTCAACTCCGGAGTCAACGGTCAACGCCGGAGTCAACGGGTCAAAATAATATTTAAATAATTAAAATAATAAAAAGAAAAGAGTAAATCTTGGCCACACATGATACCAAATCTTGTGGCTAAAAATGAGTCTCACGTCCTCACTTTAAAAAAGAGGCCGCATTTGAACCAATCCCTATATATATATATAATTGCTAAATATATATATATATATATATATATATATATATATATATATAATTGCTAACAAAAAATTTGATAAAACTATTTGAATTTTTCACATTTTTCCGTTACAATCTAATATATTTTTTTAGAAAGGTAACTAAAACTTAATCAATGACTTTAAATAATGATTAATTAAAAGTAATCATGTTTTTATTATTTATTCACACTACATGATATATAGAAGTTCAACAAATATATAATATTATATTGCAACATTTTTCTGCTCTTAGCATTTAAGTTAATTGGCTTTAGTGGTATAACCAAACCTCTTAAAATTTCATAATAATAATAATAATAATAGTAATAATAATTTGTAAAGATAATCAATAGGTAGGGTTCTCTCAAATTTATAAAAACTACAGTATCCATTTCATTTTATGCAATCAATATAGTGATGAAATTAAATATTTTTATAATGTTCATTTTTACTAATGACAAAATTTTTAAAAGTGATACTATTATCTAACTTATAATTTAAATATTATGTACATACATATAAATTATAATAATTTAAACATGCACAAATTTTAACATATGTGCATGTGCAGAGGATCGAATACTAGTTTTTATAAAGCTAGAAGGTGAACGAGTAATCTACCATAATCATGAAAGTAGCAACCCCAAGGTCTTGGCTGCGGAGTAACTCAACGCAAGCTTGTGCGGCAGCAGTGTTTTCGACAACAATATAATCAAGTCCAGGACATGCAGTCGATATGGCTACATCATATTTTGCTGCAGAAAAAGAATAGATGATTAAAATAAAATAACATATTGAATAAAACTACTGAAGAATAAATACAATAATTATTGTAAAACTACTTATCAATAACATCTTCACCACTGTCCAAATCACTAAAAGAAAAGAAATAATTAGTTGCATTTCTGAATACGAAAGCATTTCTGGGTCATGAAGGCTAACCACTGTAGAGCCAAAGTAATTCGTCAAAGTATGCATATAAATGTACATATAATAGAGGATATATATAGATATACATGTATATATACACACATATATATATAAGTGAGCATTGTAGGAGTAGACAAATGAAAGGTAGCCAAGAGACAATTATGGACTGGCATAGGTCTATTTTAAAATAATATACGCTCACCATCAATAGCTCCCAAATCCCCCATTCGGCCATATATTCCTGGTATAATGTTTGTTTCTTTAGCATGGAGTATTGCTTTTAAGACAGATCCCTGATTCTTCTCAGATTCCATAACTGATGAAAGCTCCACAACCTTTTGTCTTGCAGCCTGTTCCAGAGGTATCAACCTCTCTTGTTCCTCATGGCATGCCTACATTATTCCAAACCCTAAAATTTTATACTGAAAATGCAAGAAAAGCATGACGAATACATACATTGCTGCTGCTTACTTTCTCCACTTTACGGGCTTCGGATGCTTCAAGTCTGAGTTTCTCAATTTCATTCTGAATATCTTGCAAACTGGAAGTCTTTGTCTCTATTTTTCTGTTAATGTCACCAATCTGCTTCTGTGCATCTTCATAAGCCGTGCGGCCTGCCTCATGCTGGTTATAGATGTTAACAGTGAGTGCAAATTTTTAAAGAAATCAAGCTACCAAAGGTCTGAAGCAGATGGAATTTCTTTCTCAATATAAGAATGAGACAGATTGCCTAAAATTTCAAACATCTGTGTTTAATGAAAAATTTGGACCACTTTTTCCACCAATTGATCCAATTTTAATAGGTAAAATAGCACTCAAAGTAGGCCCATACATCAACTAAGTTTTAATCTGGCAACACTTCTTCTTTCTGCTTAAAACAATTAAACAGTATTTAGGGAAACAGAAGGCAACAGAGTGTATTTAATAAAACATTCACCACAAACCGTGACATTGAGGTTACGTTGAATTTTAATACAATGTTGAGCTTAGAATGTTATATTGAGCTTACCATTGTTATCTTGGAGAAGAATTAATAAGGGGAGACGATTAGAATGAAACACGGAAAATACTATATTGCCTAATTACGTTGCAAAGAGTCTAACCGAACAGGATAATGTGAAGCAGGGTATAACAAAAATACTGACTGGGCTCAATAAGGACAGTCAAGAGAAGGATACAAGCAAATGAAGAAAATAAGTAAAATCATGTGTCAGTATTCGGTAGTTTTAACATACCAGGTGTTTTAATGTAGTACCACCTTACCTTCTCTATAAAAAGTTTTCTTTCAGCTGAAGCAACATCAAACTTTCCTCTGTGTTCAATCAATAGTTTTTCCCAGGGTTCTAATTCAGTACGAACCTCAGCAAGTTTAGAACGAAAGACTTCCGTTTCATCTGTATAAAAAAAAATAAGCAGGACTCCTATAAGAGTTACAAACAACTCAATAACAAGTGATGCAAAAAGCAACCAAGATAAGCATCTGAATAACTTGCACAGCCCTATCATCATAATATATGTAACTGACAGACACTAATTACCACACAAAAAAACCTCATCAAGAAACACCTGTAAACATAACTATGCTATTCTACCATTGCTGTCTCGCATATGAAAAGAATAATTTATGTAACACTCAGCCTATCATTTAAAGATCATTGATTTTGGATTACACAGTAAAGCCTCTAAGAGAACTACAACAGCACCCATCTACTAGATATGCGATGTAAAACACAAAAAGGCTGAAATTATTAAAAGTAACATTAGCTTTGTGGATCTAGGTGTTAAAATATCACCAGAAACAAAAGAAAGTATTTCAAAAGGTTGTTGGAAAAAACGTGCTAAAAGAAAATCAAATCCTGTTCAATGACTAAGTATGTATTCTATGAACCCAGGTTTATGGGTGTGGCTGTATGCACAAAGGGAGAGAGCAAGAGCAAAAGTAAAGAATTGGAATGACAACAAGGTACCTTTAGCATTTTCCTTGATTTCTTCCAGAATCTTTTCCTCATCCACCAGATGTTTCTGTAGCTTAGGAGTATCACCCTCAAGCTGAGGAATCAAATTTGTAGACTCCTCACACTCTTTTGTGAGGTCAGCTATTTTATTTGAATCCTGAAATTATGAGAAAGGAAGAATCATATTAAAACCAGAAAGTAAGAATCAAATCACTTACAAAAAACTCGCTTAATGCAGGTTAACGTTCCTCACACCTTTTCAAGCTTATCATCGAGCTTTTTGATCTTTTGCTTCAAATGCTTGAAGTCTTCCCTGTGCTTCAAATCCTGCCTTTCGAATTCCTTAAACTCATCTTTGCATCGTCTCAGATCACTATCAAGTTCCTTAAATGTTCAATGACCAACAATATTAATTGATATAAAATTAAAAAAAAATAAAAATAAAAACATTACCATTTCGAAATTATTGAAACAGCAGGCACAATAATGTATGTAGAGATTTACAGTACTACTTGTATAGAAACTAGGGTCAAAACCTCTTGTTTCTTCATGTACTTCACATGCAATGCTTCAAGTTCTTTCAAAGTCTTAGTATTTTCATGAATTTTCTCCCTGAAAAAGACCCAACCAATAATTTTCAGCACCAATCTGATTGTCTATCCAAGAAATACATTAGTTTGTAAAGGACCACCTTTCAGTCTTCACATTTGCTTCTAAGTTTGAAACAGTTGCCTGCAGTTCTGCTATTTCAGTAACGGTGCTTTCAGAAGCTAGCTTGGTAGCTTTTTCTTGCCATTTTAACAGTGATAATTCTTTAAGCATGTAATCTTCTGCTTCATTTTTGACACCCTGGGAAAATGAGCAATATAATATTAATATCCTAAAGCACATATATGAAAATCCACAAGATTTGCACTTTACAAGCTCTTTAAAATCATACCTCTAGGCTCTCTCTTTCTTTTTCAGCTAATTTGACCATTTGAACTACACCAGATCTCTTTTCATTGAGCAATTCCAGCCTAAAATTTCAAAAGGCATTGAGAACGTTTGTACTGTAAGTGAATATTTTGAGAGAATATGAACCAGAACAACGAATTAATATTAGCAGTACATTTAAGGTAAAACGTAGATAGATACTATGGCAAACAAGTAATTACATCTAAATATCATGTCTTTCCTATGGGATAAAATAAAACAAATTTACTTCAATCCTGAGAAAGATCCAAGAGTTGCTAGTTCAGATATTGTATAGCTACATCAATTTGAAAAATTGTTGATTCTAAAAGACCATTCGCCGAAATGCAATGTTCTTCTCGCCTACTTGAATTTAAATACTTACTGCTTGAACGATTCATCAATCTTCTCAACATATTTGTTAGTTCCAATTATATCCTCAAGATACTCGAGAAAACCTTCATCATGTGGCCCCTGTGCCTTCGGCTTCATCAATGATATTTGCTCTACTTCACCCTGAAGAAACAAAAAAATGTTAGCATTGGAAACACATACATAACAACTCAGATTACCGTATATATTCCAAACCATTAATTCCAATTGTGTGACCTGAAGAATCAAAAAACGGTTGTTATCCAAGTCGACACCTTTCCCCCTCAACAACTTGGTCACTTCTGTAAAATTACTAGCTCTGTTGTCGATATAGTACTTGGAGGAGTTATCCCGGAATGCCACCCGAGTAATCACAAAATCACTTCCAGGGACAACTTCATAAGTCCCATCATCCTATAGGCAGCACACAATTTAGCAATTAGAAATAAAATACAACCACAAACAACTCCCTCTCGAGGAAAGACCGTACCTAACTAAGCTGTACATGTAAGGTCGACATACCAAATCAACTATCTCCTGAAAGTGAACTGATACACCAGCACTGTCCAAATTCTGATGATTTGTGGAGTTGTGGATAAGCTCCGAAACTTTGTTTAGCCTCATCTAAAAGTTTGATAACTCACACAAAGTTATGAAGCCGACAGAAGTAAAACGGTGGCCTCACATCAAAATAAAGATTATGAAGAGAGAACAGCATCAAGATACAATTAAAGGGAGAAAAATAAATACAACCAAACTAAAAGGTTTCACTCCGAACACTGTAAGCACAAGGGAATTTAAAAAATTAAACATCTAACATACGGCAAGAATAAACAAAAAAAAGGATAAAAATAAGAGAAATAAATGGTGGGAAATTTTTTACCTGTTTGGCACGCTTGCCAAACACAAAGAGCATCGCATCTATCACGTTGCTCTTCCCGCTACCATTGGGGCCGACCACAGCAGAAAAACTCTGAATATTTGTATTTTATTAAAAAAAATCACTTACTAAAGCTTGTACGGGCATTTACCTCAGGCGCCTTTAATTCACTAAAAAAAAGGATTTTAAGCACAGCGCAAAAACCCTAACCTTGTGAAAAGGGCCAACACGCTGTTCGCCTGCGTAGGATTTGAAATTCCTCATCACCATCTCCTTGATAAACAGCCTGGAAGCACGAGACGCGGTCCGATTCGACTCGGCGGCGAACCCATCGGCGGTCACCGTCGATTCCATCTCTATTCCTCACACCAATTTCCGGATCTGATGAGAGATTTCGTGGTTTTTCCTTCACAACCCTTCACCTCATACTCTCGATCTCACAGCCACATTATAAATCAGTAGTATTTTGTTTTGCCAACTAAAATGGTGAATAGGTGACAGAGGAAGAAAGTGAGTGTAGTAGTGGAGAATATTTTGAACGCAGAACAAAGTTTGGGCGGGAAACTCTTTGTTTAGAGCCTTTAGACAACTAGTGCATATCATGTACGATAGCACATAATAGCTTATATTTTAAAACTTTCTTTAGACTTATTTTAAATATAATAACAATTTATATTTTTACATCTCATCTCATTATGGAAATAAAATAAATAAAAACAATGAAAAACATATGTTATTAAATACTCCTCTTTATACAGTTTTTTTTTTTTAATGAATATTATTAAACCTTGCAGTTTTGATTTTTTTTTAAAATTTATATATCCAATTTTTGATTGTTAATGTATAAAAACGTAATGGAAAGAATCCAAACTTTAAAGTAAATATATATATATATATATATATATGTGTGTGTATATTTACAAATCAAAATCATCCAATTTTTATTGAAGCTGTTTAATATCTTAATTTCAAATAACTGACGACGACGACGACGATTATGATGTAAGAAAATTTAGAAAACTCCTTATCCTCTCTTCGTAATTTTCCACATGTGATTAAAAATTATCGGCTGGTTTTGATATTTGTTGCATCGACGATTATGATGTAAGAAAATTTAGAAAACTTCTTATCCTCTCTTCGTAATTTTCCACATGTGATTAAAAATTATCAGCTGGTTTTGATATTTGTTGTGTATGAAGTAATGATATCGATTTTCAACTGGTTTTCTTACTTTTTTATCTTAAATATCGGTTATTAGGGTGAAAATGCGACGATTATGATGTAAGAAAATTTAGAAAACTCCTTATCCTCTCTTCGTAATTTTCCACATGTGATTAAAAATTATCGGCTGGTTTTGATATTTGTTGTGTATGAAGTAATGATATCGATTTTCAACTGGTTTTCTTACTTTTTTATCTTAAATATTGGTTATTAGGGTGAAAATGAAGATACCGAGGAAGATGATGAAGACGAATAAAGATGGCAGTGGAGATTACTTGTAAGAAATTAACCTTAATTATTTACAACTGTAACTTTTTTGGGGTTTTATGAACTTAAAACGCGTTGGATCTTTTTACCAGTACCCGGTCGGATATATGTTAGGTAAAGTGACAGAGAAACATTTTTGCAGTTGTTTTCATTGTGTGATGTATGATCAATATAAGTTTTGTTGTTGTGCAGCCATTTTTGCACTCTTATATGCTGCTTGTCTGTTTGCATTGATCAATATAAGTTTTGGGAGTATATATTCCATGCAGGAGCTATTATTTTATACTTTTTTCTTTTTAAGAACAAATTAGTTTATAAAAAAAGAAGTTTTTCTAGTACTTTCTAGGGAGAAAATTATTTAAATAACACTTCATATATTGCTAGTACTTGAAATACTAGGTTGGAAAACATACGGTATTTTAGGATGATGTATTTTTTTTTCGACCAAGTCCGACGTCAATTTAAGCTATGTTTGGTAAACTTAGTTGATAAACGAACTTATGTATGGGCTTATAGCTTATAAGTGAATTTTGAACTTATAGCTGAAAAACTAGCTTATATGATAAGTGTTTGGTAAAATAACTGATAATCTAGTTGAAATATTTTAGGCTTATTTGAATGGTTATTCAAGGAAGTTTATTCGTCTTATCAAATTAAGTTTATTTGAATACAAGAAACTTATAAGCTAATCAAATGAGTTATAAACTAATTTATATGCTTACAAACACAACATTAGAAAGTTGCCAAACTAATATAGAATAGGTTGGACATATTATTTTTACAAAATAACATACTCGTATAATTGCATGCCATGCTTAAAATATAAGCAAAAAACCACTTTTATACGTGTTTTCTAGCAAATCTCACAAAGAATGGTGAAAGAATTTAACATAGGATGAAGGATACAATTTTGTGTCACCTATGGCTAGGTTGTCATACATATTTGCACACTAAAAATATCATACATTAAAATTTAAAATAAAATACGAACAAAAGCATACCATTTTTGTTGAAATATAATCTGACCTTCATTTGGAAAGACAGAAAAAACTTTGGAATCAGGTGTATAAATTAAAAACAGAATAGTGTACATATCTCATAGGGGCGATTTTTCACAACTTCAAACCCCAGAACAAGCACATCTACTTCAATACACGATGTTACATCATCATTTTCATTCACTTGAGCAGAAAATAAGGATTAAATTCATCCCAACCAGAATCATCCCTCTCTCCCAGCCTTTCTCTCAAACTATCCACAACAGTCCTACCCAAACACTTCTCATACAACCTAATAACCATCAAATACATATTGCAAATCAAAGGATTACCGATAAACGGACCAATCGCTTCACCAACCGTCGAAACCTCAGACACCACATGCCCGTTATCTCCATCCTCGATCGCAACACAACTCGACAAGGCATAAAATCCGAGCAAATTCGCATATATTTGCAAAAATGTGTCTTTGTGATTCCCGAGTCCACCGACCCACCCTACACATCCCTTTCTCCCTACACGCTCACGAGCAATCTCAACCAACTGCTCGAAAAATTTTGTCCTCCATTTACGCAAAACATCCCTAGACTCGATTTCTTTTGAAACCGGAATTTTCGACAAATGCCAACAGATCAGTTGACAAATTAAGAGTTTTTCTTCGTGATGATTGTCGATCTCCTTGTCGAAAACACGCCGGACGAGGTTTTCTCCCGAGAGGACATAGTTTGAGCCATTAGCGGCATTTAGGACCCAAGAACAAAGATAATCCAAGTAATCGTGCCAGCGTCCGAATATTCTCGAGAGATGCTCGAAACATGACTCGATCACTTTCTCGACTTGGCTGGAAGCTATGTCATTTCTCGACAGGAAATTTTTTTGTATTTTTAGGGCGAGTTTTTTCCGTAGCTCGGCATCTTCATCTTCCAGAAGCTTCACGCACGTTGACCATAAATCAAGCACCTTGCGAGTGTAGAGTTTGATATCATCTTCTACCTTAAAAAAATTAGAAGAAAGGCTATTTTCGGAAATTAGCACGCCAAGGGCCTCGGCATGTGCCAGCAAGCCAGAAGCTACCAATGAGTCGGCAGCTGCCTTTCGCATATTTACGGGCTGTGAAGCTTCGCTGTATTGTTCTATCAGGCCCACAAAGTAACTCAACGCCTCGTAAAAATGCAAAAATGATCTGCTACTAGGGTCGGATTTTCGGTTCATGAAAAGATTGGAAATTTGCTTGGCGCATATTCCTAAACAGCAGATGAGCGTCTGCCGAGTCTTTGCATGCCTTGTGATCTCTAAAAAGGAAACCAACTCTTTCCATAACTGGAATACGGAGTTGCAGTCCATATTACAAACATATCTCGGCCCAGAGATTAGTAATCGGGTGTCATCAGGAGATTGGAGCGAGTTCCAAGTGTAGAGAATTTTCAAAAGATAATGCGTGCATTTATGGTGCTTCTCAGAAGCCAGAAGCTTCATGACTGTATCCTGAAGATTGATATCTGTCGAGCATATCCTCACAGCCTCGCAATAAAAATGGTCCTCCCCACAATCACCATACAGCTTGATTCTCTTCAGGAACAAATGAAGCCATTTTAATGTTGCGAGTTGCACTTCGTATGATGGATCGGACATCGAGCGGATTAATCTTTCCTGAAATCCAGTAAAAGCAGCACCCTCCATTTCAACTGCTTCGAACAAATTATTATTATTATCAGGTGAGGAAAATTTTTTCCTCGTCAGAAATTCACCATCTCCTATTTCTTTCGAAGTCTGGAAAATGCAATTAAAGTAGGAAACTGCGGCTTGCTTGCGAAGCTCCTGAACAGTTGGGTCAAAATACAGCTGCCGATGGGCCGGCTTTAAATCCAAGTATTCTGAAGACAAATCATGGAGGATTTTCCAAGTGGGCCCCACGCTTTTGCTCGTCGGGTAGGTTCTTGAAACAGCGAGCATGTTATCGAGCACTTTCAGAAAGCACAGATTGAGTGTCGGGCAGTGGCACTGCTGTGGGCTCCCAATCCATGCGCGTTTCTTTAGTATTCGAACCAATTTTTCGAGTATTTCGTCCTTTTTGGAGGGGTCAGACAGATTTCTACAGTTAGTGTTAAGAAGCGAGTTCAGCTGTAGCAACATTCCGTGAATCGAATTCGATGACATGATGATATTGTTGTTTTCGTGACAAGGCAGCTCCGAGGCCATTGTGAAGATGACAGCTGGCAGCTTCTCGTTGGATACGAGGCCCGTTAGAGCTCCGGATGCAAGTACACGGATCCGGAAGTTGCTTTGGAAAGAACACCTTCGGATAAAAGGCATGAAAAGAAAAGGGTCCAAAGGATCTCCGGTTTCACTTGCAAGCGGAGAAGGTTTGAGGCGGGAGAGAAGTATCAGCATTGGGCACAGGCTTGGGTGAAGGTCGTTTTTCAGGTTGGACATGGCTCGTTTGGGTGATCCTTCCGGAAGAAATTCAGTGGCCACTTGCAGTTCGTCCATCAGGAACAAGTGCAATGTCGGGTACCTTCATGAGTCGGATTAAAAGAAGAAAAGTTATAGGAGCTGATAAATGTTGGTTAAGGTTTGGAGGAAGTAAAGGGAAGAACTTATCCAAAACTTTGCATCTAGATTAATGAAAAAAAAAGAAAAATCTTTCTTTTTTTTTTTGTTTCCTTCCTTAGATGACCAATGCAGAATACAAATAGGAATCGTGCTCCTGATATAATTCTAAGATCTAAAAATGGTGTTTGCATATATTTGGGAAGCCAACTTTTAGTTCTTTCATAAAAACAAGAGTGAAATTTTGTTTAATCATAAATTTGGGACATAAATTATTTCTATTTTGTTTTTTTCTCAAATCAAGACTCACGATAAGCTCCAAATTCAGAAACAAAACCAAAGTCAGGCCCTTGTTTCCTTTTGCTTTTCAAATCAGTTAAAACAAAATTTAAGCTTCAAAGAAGTTTGAAAAAATGAGCCTGAACTGAGACACCCCCCCAAAAAAAAGACAACAACAACGAAGGACTAAAATCAAATGAAATAAATCAGGGGCCTTGCTCTGAACTTTTCCTTGAGTAATTATTTTTCGTGACAAATGTTATCACGAGTCAGACCAGAGAATCTAAAAGGAAAAAGCACCAAGAGCAACAATTATCACATTTTATCCACACCTAAACCATGCATAACAATTAACAAGTAAAAATACTCGACACTCAAGAAATCTCACCTGTGAAAAAACTCAAGCCCGGTTAGGGCCCGCCTGGCCGACTCTCTTTTCTGCACATTCAGAAACCCAATCATTCGACGTAACAAAGCAGTATACGCAAGACAGGCGCTGTTGCGGACCTCCCAATATGGAGAAGAGAACGAGCGCACGCAGATTATCATTGCCTCGGCACAAAAGCCCGAAGTATCAGTCGCCAGGTTCGTATCGTTAAAAGTTGCCTTCAGAACATTGAATGCATGCACTGTGGGGACCACACCTTCGTCCCGGAACTTTGATATTTCTTTCGTGCCGTTCGGACCACCCAAGATGTTTGCTTTGGTTTTTTGATCGGCTAAAGACTTCTTAACTACATCTATTAGCCAGCTAAGTGCTCTAGGGAGTAGCCTTTTGGGTGTGCCCTCGGGCTCGGAGAGGAAAAATGCAATAAAAGCAGCGGGTATACCTGCACTTCTTCTTAACAGGTCATCCACTGTCTGTCCCTTAGCTATGGTTCTTTCCATTAGTATATCCATCCAGGACTCTGTCAATTTACATAGCCTGAATTCACATTTAAAAAGAAAAATAAACAAGGGGCTCAGAACACCGAAAAAATGACAACAGTAATTATTAAATTAATTTTCGATATAACAAAAAGTCGGATTCACGACGAGACAGAAAATTATAAATAATTACTCGGTTTAGAAATGAAGAACCGATCAGATGGTCTCTGGTATCGTATTCATGTCAGAAATGAGTTAGAGCTCGAGAAGGAACTGAATTATGTTGGATTTTGATATGCGAGTGACATCACTAAGTGATGCTAGTACAAGTGTATAAAACATAAACAAGTACCTTGGATCATTTGAACAAAGCAAACGGTTGCACAGTGCAGTGAACCCAGCCCTTGTCTTATCGATTGCACCATTATGTTTCATTTTGAGAAGGACTTCCAAGAAATGGTTGCCGATTGTCTCCAGTTGTTGTAAATCAAGCATCACATCAGACGGTAGATCAGATCCATCAGTGGATGTAGCAATTGCTTTACGCATTTCATCACAAGTAGGTAAAGGAACTTTTCTTATTACTGTCCCCAGAAGAAGGCTCACCTGAAAATAAAATTCAGACAAACACTATCAAACCCGAACTGTAGAAATTTTATAGAATAAACAGCATGGTCATTCTCTGAGCATTCCTAATGCATTATTCATCTGAGAAACACACACACACACACACACACACAAACAGAAACAAAGAATGAGAGAAGAAAATGGTTTCATGCACCACACAATGAACTGATGGCCCTCTCAATTAATAAAAATAAAAATAAATATAAATATAAATATAATGGTACACTCACCTCTTTCATAGCAAGCCAGCAACCAACCATAACAATCTGGTCAGAGGGTCCAATCTCCTCGTCAACTTTCCTAACTTTAACTCCAACCTGTGATTTCAGTCCAGATGAATCAATTTCATCCGGAATATCCACAGAGAACACCTCATCGTCCTCTATTTCTTCCATATCATCATCAGGTAAGTGCCATGCATCAGCCGAAACTACCCAAAGGGCCAAAGAAGTTATTCGCATGACCAACTCCAACAGCCTTTTCAACACGTCTTTCATTTGGCACATGCTATGCGTAAACACATTAGAGTTCCAATCCAGCTCCTCAAACGTATATCGTAGAGTGAGCAATATCCCGTGAACAAAACTATTCTTGCATGCTTCCGAAAGATTCTTTTCAGCATCTTCCACAGCAAAAACCAGCCAATCAATAAGTGATACCAGATAAGTTACCACGGGTGAGCTCGGCATGCAATGGGCACCGTTTGCCAGCTCAGCCTCGAAACACAAAGATACATAATTACACGATGGTCTAACTATCCACCTCAGCTCCAACACATACTTCCTGAAGAGAAGCCTCATCATGAGGGCCCCAGCATCACTTTCACGTACACGTGGACTGCATATTAGCAGTTTAGCCCACATAACTGCCTCACGGACCTTATCTGGATTAGTAATGCCAGGAAGAGGGGTAGGAAAATATAGTAAAACACGAAACGAATTCTCTCTCAGTCGGTCCCAACTATCAACAATTGATCCAACAAGCAGCAAAGTAGAATCGGGTAGAGATAAACTTCTACTGTATGGGTACAGGCTAGTTTTAGAATAAAAATTATCCTTATTTTCTGATAGTGTTGGGACCACAGGCCAAACATTCAACATTATCAATATGAGCTCCATTGCCATTATCTTTCTCTCATATGGTGCAGAAGGATAGCAGGAGAAAAACAAGAAACAACTCAGCCACTTGGTAAAATCAAAAAGAATCTCAGCCCTGTGTTTTATAATACTCTCAGATCCTGTAAGCAAACAAACTCCATTCGAATCTCCAGCCGATACAAGAGGCTTCCATGCTCCTACCTTAAGTTGTCTCTCTAATGAAGTCCTGACCCGAGAAAAGAACTTCCTGAACAAGCTATTCCACTTCATTTGGAAAGCAGTTGAACAACATCTCATGTTCAAGGGCACAGCCTTTCTCATCAAACTAAGTTCCAAAGAAGAAGGCAAGCTGGCCGTTTTTGGGTTCAAGAACAGAGTTTCTGCTGCATCCATGCGGAGTGACTCGTCTACGTGGGTCAAAGCTAATATGACCCACTTGACTGGGATTTTTACCTCGACGCCCTTTATCCCAACAGCACACTGTAAATTACTGTTTTCAAGATCAAGCTCTGCAGCTTCAGGGGAAATTGAAGACTCCTCATACCAATCAATGTCTCCTTCCATCAATGCAAGAACACGAGAGACCTTGAGCAATGACACCAAAACAGCAATTTTCTGTTCGAGCCCAAGATCCATCTCCGTGCTGCTGATATCATTATGAGAAAATAACGGGCCCTCAGTTGGACCTATCCCAATTAACGCGAGCATAGAAAATATACTGTCAACGTCTAACTCGAGAAGAACAGGCAATGCATATGTGTTCAAGTTCGACCTTAGCTTAGCGAATCCAAATGCTAGTCCGTGCAAAAATGGCAGCAAGCAGTAGCCTCTGTATTTTGTGTATCCATTGTCGACTCCATCACTACTCCAATATTCGTCCCTCAAACACTCAAGGAAACACTTGAGAAAGGTTGTGGCCGCACAACACACATCATCATCAACATACGCCTTTGCTGTTTCAGAGAGCAAGTCCGGGTTCATTTTAATAATAGTTTTGGCACCCAACCTCCTAGTAAGTGAGGCTAATGGGACGTACCTTCCCTTGCAACGTGGCCCCATACATAAAAGATCCAACGCAATCCTCTTCAAGAACAACTTTATATTTTCACTACCTTCTGCCCAATGAAGACTGGACTGAATGTCTAAATAGAGATCAAAGATCAAATGAACTTGTTTAACAGTTTGGCTCAAAGGATCCTCCAAGTTATTCCACACAATCTTCAATATCCTAGCCCCCATAGCCTCGGGAATTGGATCATAATTATCTGGGGCGCACCCAGTGTCGCCTTGGAGCAAAGTTTTTATCTGCTGTAGACATATTTGCATTACGGTCAATGCATGGAAATTAGAGTGACTGTCAGTAGGGTTTTCGGCGTATCTGCACAACTCGGGTAAAATAGCATCATAAAGTATGGTCTTCACCAAATATTCATCTTCATCACCGTTCGCACCATCATTCAACACTGCATAATGAGTGTCAAGGACGGTTCTAGAAACAGCAGTCAGTATTCCTCTGATCAAGCAAAGTCTACTCAGTGCCGAAAATTTATAAATTTCATCAACCAAATCACCCTTATACGAAATCTTCTCCACTACGGCATCAAAATCAATCTCACCGCCCTGAACGCCAGTTTCACGAAAAATACCTCGCATGATAAATAGTCCGAGCTCTTCTGGACTCAAGCAAACTTGCAGTGCTGCACACAAACTTACCCCAGCTGCCACAAAACAGTCTCTTGAAAACGCCTGAGACTTCAAAACGCTCAAAACAATTGACAAAGCCATTTCCAGGACATTCGAATCATTCGACGCAATACTTTCCCCACCTGCATTGTTGAATTTTCCCGGGAAGCGTTGAAGCAAGTAGTACATACACGAGAGTGCCTCCTGGCACTGTTCCATGACAAGTGGAGAAGGCCTTGACCATTCATTTGTTTCATTCACAACACTACCTAAGCTCGAAACCACATCTAACCCCACCAGAATCGCGCATTGTTCGACTACTTGCACCAAGTAGCCTAACTTAGGCGTGCTCATCATGGAGAGTGCTGCCCGCGAAACACAGAATATTTTCCCATCTCCTGCGATCTGCCCGCCACCGTACTCGTGGCACAGCTGCTCAAAATGGCTCTCGATCAAACTCCGATTGTTCTTCAACTTGGCCAGCACGGAAGCCAGCGTCCTATGCAAGGGCAAGGAGTTCTCCAGGAAAAGGATTTCCAGATACAATTTCGCAGCGCGGGAAACCGTCTTTTCATATGTGTTTCCATCGGATATCAAATTGGAAAAAGCGGCGGCGATTTTCTTAGCGTGTTCGATCTGGGCGTAAGTGGAGTTGAGCGATACCAGGTGCTTCAGTTCGGTGAAGAAAGGGTGGTCGTCGGGAGTTCGGTTCAGTTCCCGAACGAAATGCGGCGGGAACACGACGGCGCTGTAGGTGTAACGGTGGCGATGCTGTATCGCGCGCCACTTGGCGGACATGATTGGATGTGAGGCGGCTGGGATGTGGAGGCTGTAGGCTCGGAGCCGACCACCGGTGGGCGGAGGCAGACGGCGGACGGCAGTTGGGACTCGGGTTTTAGGGTTTAGCTCCGCAAATGGTTTATCGTTAATTTGGTTTCTTCCAAGGAAAAGGGCAATTTGACGAAAACGCCCCGGGTTTTAAAGTTGAATAATCTCTATGTAAATTGAATTTCCCATTTCACTTTGGTTAGGCTTGTTTGTTACTTGTAAGTTCTTAGAACTAAGCTACTTTATATTTATTTGATTCATGATTTAAATTATTTAATCTCTATGGAATATTGAATTTGATATAGAATTTAATAGTTTGTAATCAAAATTTATACGAATTCGAACCAAAGTTCTCATATATAAATTGAATATAATTATATAAATATATTAAACACAAATATATTTTTGTATTAAATATATTTCTTCAAATAATTTTCGAATCAAATATAACTGATCATATTAAATGAATCGGATATTAATCACAAATTGATTTCCACAGTAAATCAAATATCGATACTCGAATAGTAAATCAAATATAAATACTCAAATATTAACGCATATTCGAAGTGAACAGTTAGTTAGAATATTAAAATTTGACTCATTTACCCTCTATTTTTGCTCAAACTTTTTGTATATCTCCGCTCTAAAATAGGTGATTATGTCCTTCAACACAAGCAAATAAAAGGCAAAAAGAATTTGAAATCATAATCTAAAAAGCATTGCACAATAGTTTCTAAAAAAAATAACTAGCAAAACATACTCACTTTATTGATCCATCATCTACAAACTAAACCAAACCCAATTCACTAAATCAAATGCACCCAAACTAAAAATTATTACTATATCCATCTGCAATTTGAATCTTTTGATCAGAGTCTGCATTAACTTTCTCTAACATCATCAACCAATCCATAACTGTCTAATTGTGCAAGAATGTGAGATGGCCAAGAATCTGAAGAAGAAGGGTAACGTGCACGTGGCTTCCTCACATTTGCCGGAGCCTTACAAACATTCGCCTCAGTAAAAGGGACTGAAAAAACTTGTGATTCATGAGCTGCTAACGGCATGACGATAAGAGATGGACCCATGACAGGGGCCGAGTGGTGATCTTCTATTAGTTTCGGGGGGAAATTGGAAGAAACTCATGAGTCTTCTTCACACTTGACCCGCTCGTTTATTTCTTTTTGAAACTTCTTGATTTGTGCATCTAGCGTTGAAGTTTCTTCTTGGAGCTCGTCCCTCTCAGTTGTAACTTGACATTTCAATCAGTATTCACGACTCAAATAGGATTAAGGCTATGTTTGGTAACCAAATAAGTTATTATAAATTTGGTATCAAAATTACATGGGAATTCTACGAACTGATATGTATTTTTTTTTCAGTTCTTACAAATAATCTAAAATAGAAAATTACAATTGAACTGGAAAATAAATTACAATTGAAAAATAAAAGCAGAAAAATTTTAGCCGAGGCGAGTAAAACTTTTTCCGCAAGAAGAATACGCCTCGTGTGGCAGCTAATGGTTCAGGCGTAACTTCTCCAAAGATACAACGGCAAACGTCTCTAAATCTGTAGCACACCAGATTTACGAGCTCCGGCGAACTGAAACGGAGTCTAGATTTGAGCACTTAAAAATATAAATAAAAATATCTCTCTGATAATTTTCTCTATTTTTATCATTATTATTTTTATCCCTCAAATATTCTTCCGAACTGAATATTTTTATATCTCTCTTTCCTTTCTTTCTCCCTTTCTTTTTTCTCTTTTTTCACTTCTTTTCTTGTATTTCTGACGAGTTGATTCCTCCCATATATATAGATGGGAAATGGGTTGCAACTTGGAAAAGTTGACAATTTCCTTCTCGCACATCATCAACCAAATGGACAATAAAATATAAGAGTTGTTTGTAATTTGGTGTGGTGGTTCTATTTGGTTGAATAATTAATAAGATGGTTGGAAGAATAAGATGGTGGGTGGAAGAATAAGAATCAATAGGTTGGAATATTAGTTAACAAATTAATTTAACACTCATTGACTAACTATCCCCCACATGAGTGTAAATTAAATATATATACTATGTGTTCAATCCTCACAACACTCTATTGCATCAGAGAAGGTAGCTTTTGGCTTTGAACATTTCTTTGTAAACATCATCGGATGCACTGGAGGACTAGTGGACATGATGCCTTGAACTATTCCTCCATAGTGTACATCGAGACAATGACGTCTACACAATAGAGTCTTAACTCCATTCCGTTCTATCGTTGTGTCCATTTTGGCCATGGACAACACAATGGATTCATAAGTGTTTACATTTGAAGCGGCCCACACTTCACACTTATATAGGTGACCTCCCTATCAAGAGTATCCTGTTAATACTCCACGTTTACAAGGTTAGGGATTCATTAAAAGTCCACATGACTTACCCTTACCACAATCAACAGGTCATCTTGCACTTGGAGTGCTCTAGGGAATAGCTTTGGACATTCATATGTTCCAAGTACTCAACTGAATTTTCATAGCTTAGTTTTCCTTTTGAACCAAGTTCGTGGGATCTCCACTCAGCATGGTAGGGTTACCACTATGATCATTCTTTTCATTGTGGATTTTTAAGCCCATTCCCTCTAGCAAAAATCCCAATTGATCTCTATTCAATCCTTTCGTCAAAGGATCAGCCAAATTTTCCTTAGACTTCACATAGTCGATGGAAATAACACCATTTGAGATCAATTGGCGTACGGTATTATGTCTACGACGAATATGTCTAGACTTACCGTTATACAAGTTGCTTTGCGCCCTACCTATAGCAACTTGGCTATCACAGTGAATCATCACAGGCGGCAAAGTCTTATCCCAACATGGAATATTAGATAAAAAATTTCTAAGCCACTCGGCTTCTTCACCAGCTTTATCTAAAGCGATGAACTCCGATTCCATAGTTGAACGAGCTATACACGTTTGTTTTGGATTTCCACGAAACTGCACCTCCTCCAATATAGAAAACATATCCGCTAGTGGAGCGAGAATCTCTCGAATCTGATATACAGCTTGCGTCACAGTACCCTTCAAGTATGGCTGGATATCTTGAGTATTTTAGCCCGTATTCAAGGGTGTACCTCAAGTACTTAAGTACCCTTCTCAAAGCATTCCAGTGTTCATGACTGGGATTGCTCGTAAATCTGCTCAACTTATTCACCGGATAGGCCAAGTCTGGTCGTGTACAATTCGTCAAGTACATCAAACTCCCTATTATCCGTGAATATTCCAACTGAGCCACTGGTTGACCTTTATTGGCTACCAGATTTATACTAAGATCGATGGGTGTCTTACACCTAGACTGTGCACCGTCATAGGTATCAAATTTCTTGAGCACTTTCTCTACACAATGAGATTGTGACAAGACAATTCCATCTGGGTTCTGATAATCCTTATTCCAAGAATAACATCAGTCAAACCCATATCTTTCATGTCGAAATTTCTTTTCAACATTCTTTTCGTATCCATGATCACTTCATGGCTACTCCCCATGATCAACATATCGTCTACATATAGACATATAAACACAAATGCATTTGATGCACTCTTGACATAAACACTGGTAACGCAAAACACTCCAACCGACCTGAAATCGACTTGCTTGTCTTCTTCATCGCCGGTAGACGCCGCGCACCTGCACAGAACTCTCACACCAGAGGGGTTTTCCGGTGAAGAGCCTCCGATGCTTAAGTAAGTATGTGTTTGTTCAATTTTCCAAAGTAAAGAATGGATAAATCGTAAGTCATAAGAAAAGACTCACTCCCATATATATAGGAGTGAGATACCTGCCCTAGGAGCTGCCCAAATTTTTGGTGAGCTGTCCTGCCCGTACTGCCCGTCCGTACACACACACTATACTTGTTGTCAGAGATGTCAGAGGTGGCTAATACCACTATCGCTCTGCACAATATATTCTCGCCACGTGTCCCTCTGAGCTAAGGAAGATTATTCCTCTGTGCAGGCCGTTAGGATCTTCTAACGCCACCCACGCGCCTTCTCGCGTCCACGTCACGCTCTCGATTGCTCTTCACCTTCTGGGTACTCGATCTGGTCGATCCCCCCATCACTAGGTCGATCCTCGACCAGTTCTGCTATTTTTCTCGATCTCTTCCCTCCTGGTCGATCATCCCTCGACCAACGCGGTTTTCTCTACTTCGAGCTTGCCCGACCTATTGCGGTAGGACGGTCTATTCCGTAGTTATATAATATCCCATATCATCTAGTCCCCCTCACTCTGGTCGAGTTTGAATGACTCGATCTAAGAGTGAATTTGAGCTGCCTCCTTCATTCTGTCAACCTCTCGATCTCTTAGCGGCGTCTAGCCTCCTCTGTCGATCGCTCCCGTCGAGGCCGTCACCATTCTTCGACCACGTGGTCGATTTTATGGTGCGCTTTTAATTATCTTTTATTTCTTTTTATTACTAGCGTACTTTCCGCCTGCCATCTGTCTTTTCCGCTCAATTCCTTTAATCATCACGCCTCCTCGCGATTTGTGCCGCCTCGCTATCTGTGCCTCTTTAAGTTTTCCCACCGTTGGATCTTCTTTTATCTAACGGTCATCTCCCTTAACTCTTCACCTTACTCATCTGTACTTCTATAAATACCGTACTTAGCCAATTTTTCGGCTTTTCTCACCTTTGCAATTTCGAACCCCCTTGCGATCTGTTTTCTTCCTCTGCAAATTGTTCTTGCCTGCTCTCGTCGTTTTTTCAAGCAATTTCCGGCAACCACTTCTCTACTGCGACCATGAGTAAGTCTTCTATGCTTCAATTTTATATGTGCGTGCATTTATTTTGTTAATTTTTCGATTTTTCCTGTTGCTTTTTCTTTTTCTCAAATCCCTCTCGTCTCGTCTGTGGCAAAAAACCTCCTTCTTTGCTTTCAAAAGCCCTAACTCCTTTTCTCTTCCTCTCACTTTTTCGTTCTACTTTTTAGATTTCGCTGATTCTAACGCACCAAGCCATCACTCTGTCGAAGATGAGATCGCCACATCATCCTCCCCCACTCATCGGCTACTCCTCACTCGCCTTCCCGCTCTGTCGAAGAAATCTACAATCCCATTCCCTTCAGTGTTCTACGCCCTTCCGATTATGCCACATCTTCTCCTCTTCACCAACCTACTCGTCTGATTGATGAATCAGATGAGGATACCCTTGACCACATCCCTCTGAATCGTCGTCGACCAGCGTTTGGGGCTTCTGACACCGCCGAAGAGGCTCTCGATGCCGCCGAAGCTGCTGCTGAGGAGGACGAAGATAATGTTCCCCTTTCTCGCCATTCCGTTTTGGTTCGGGTTACCCCTTCCCCTAACCTTAAGAAGGGCGTACCGAAATCCTCAACTGCTTCTATCCCTCTCGCCTCTTCAGCTATCCCCATCACGACCTCTCCTAAAGCTGCCCCTAAGAAGGGTAAGTCGACCAAGGCATCTACTTTTTCTAGAAAGGCTTCTTCCTCTTCGCGCTCTCTCATAGCTGGCTGGTTGAATGCCGAAGAAGTTGGTTATCTCGCCGGCTGGGCTTTCGTATCTCCCGACCCTCGAGATACCTACGATAACCCTCCCCGAAACTGCTACACTTTCTTTGAAATTCAATTTAAACTCGGCGTCCGCTTTCCTTTAAGCCAAGATTTGGTCAATCTCTGTAAGTGGTTCGACTTGCCCTTGAACCAACTTCCTCCTAACGCCATCCGATTTATTACTGTCTTCATCATCCTCTGTCATATTCGTCTAGGTCGGCTCGACCTAGACTTCTTCCATTACTGTTATACTCCCTCGAAACATGTTCAAGGACTTTACCTCAAAGGCCGCAACGATGTCCATTTCATCTCGGACACTCCTTCCAACGTTCCCAGGTGGAAAGATAAATTCGCCTTTGTCGAGCCCAAACCTGCTTTCCCCTGGGCGTCACCTCCCTGGCTTAAAGAACTACCACGCGAGTATTCCATACCTTCAACCAACGCGCTCTTCGACCAGCGGATTGCGGTATGGAACAACAAACCCGTCTCGTCGAAGACGCTGCTTGAGGATGAAGACCTCTTGCATTTCTGTTGACTT